ATATCATTATCTTCTCCAACCAGCACAGCAAGAGGGAAAAAAAACAGTATTACATTCTGAAATGAAGGCAGCACTAGTCTCTCTAAACAGTCCTTGGATCATCTAATGCTACCCCCATGCTACCCCTACAATTGAGAATCTACCTTCTGTAAGCTACTCCTCAATCTACCCCAAATATCCAATGAAGGAAGTTTCTATTTTCCAGCAGCATTCATAATTGAAATTGGTCATACTGGGATTGTGCCCCTCCCACCAAAAAAACATTGAAAAGTAGGGTCTTTACTTTAACAAACTCATGGCTTAGCATTTCTCTCATCTTACATTAGCCCATGTCCTTACATTATCTTGGTACCGCCTAATACCTTTTATGGAAGTAACATGATTAAATAAGAAGTGGCTATCCAGTACATGACAAATGTTCTAAGTTCTTCCAACTCCTGTTGCATCTAACCGCTCCTTCTCTTCTCTTCTCTTCTTCCTCCTCTTCCAGTCTCTACAGTTTTCCTTACTCATTTCTCAGCTGAAAATTGTTAAAACTAGCACCTCATGGAAGATCACGACAAGAGAGAGGAAAGGACAGTACCAGGCTATCCCAGTGGAAGTCATAGAGACAATCATGTACCCAAAGCCCACTCTTGCTTTTCACACCTCATGTTAATGTTAACTAGGCTCATAAAATTCTTCTCTCTCTCTCAACAGCTCCTGCAATTCCTAACCTGCCTCACCTGCAGTTGATACAACGTGGAGCAGCATCTCAATCTCGCAAGTGAACAATGTCCAGCTGCTGTAGGAATATTCCCATCGTACCAGGTACCCCCGGTCTTCCAGAATTACTTGGCCCACTGTTCCCTGAGGTATTCGCAAGTTTGTCTGACCCAGCCCTGAGGGTTGGCAAGAGGTAAACCAAAAAAAGAGGTGAGAATCTTATCTGTATTATCCAGTTTTAACCTATAAGCTACTTGGTTTAATGGCAGTGTTCCAAAGATTAATCCACCTAACCCATTTCCTTACCCAGAGGATAGAGGAGCTTTGGTGCCTGCTTTCGCCAAAGGGTGCCATCTTCATGTGAAATCACATCAGGGGGTTTGTTCTTGTACAACTCAATGTAGAAGGACATTTTATCCAGGAAGCTATACACCTGAAAAAAGAGAGCTAGAGCATACAGCCCAAATATGAGAGCTTTCTAAGGAGCTATCTAATGAGGCGATTTCCAAGGATGGATGTTTGCTTGAAATGCAGCATCTGCTCACAATATACAAAGTTTGCCTAATACAGGAACACTACCCCATGGAATTCCTTTCTCCAACTAGAATCTGAGCTAATGAACCAATTACGAGTCAAATGTTCTAACACATGTACAGCATTCAGAAATATAATATCCTGACCAAAGACCACTGTAACAATGACTGCCAGAGCCAGGTGCTGGGAAACTAGCTCTCTTCAATTACAATGAAATGTATAACTTGCTTAATTATCACCAGATTTGTTTGGAACTACTGGCTTCCAATCCCACATCAAAAAAAGAGAAAGCACGCAAGTTAGTTCCACACAGAACTTTCTGAGTATGTCTATACCACTAACTGCACCAGGTATGCTAGAACATGCCGTATTGCAGTATGCAGGCTACCTCCTGAATTGGCAATAACCTACCTCTTGGCAGAGCCTATCCCTTCTGATTCAGAAGATAAGGATAGCATGTTTCAGCATATTGCTACTGGCAATTTAGTGATATAGACATGCCCTCGGTCTTTCACATCTGGTGCCCCAAACATTTGGGGGCCAGGTAACGTTACTCTATAAACCATATGAGAGACTTGAGTTCTTAGTCACTTGAACTCTAAACTATCTGCACTATGGTGGCAAAAAAAAAAAAAAAAAAAAAAA